GTGTGGAGATATGCTCAAATAGGTACCTAATATACTTAAAATGTTGTATTTCCAAGACTTAAGAAGCTACACAACAACCTATATATAGAGAGTGAGAGATTAATTCAAAACCATGTTTGTGGTTTGTGGACCTACATTTCTTCTCGTATCTTCTTTTAATTATAAATTTTATCCAACCTTATATTGTTTTTTTTTAATTCATAATTTCGATATGTTTATAAGTCTTTTTAATCGATATTTAAATCATAAAATGTTAGTTTTTCATACTATCAAGTTTATTAACTAATAAAATCCACGAAACTGAAGAAAAAAAATGACCAATTACATAAGTATCTAAGGTAAAGAATTAAGAAACTATATGAATGCATTATGGGTATTTTTTAATGAATACAAACTATGATATCAGAGGAAAAAATTACATTGATGTGTATACACACATTTCAGAAAAAGCCATCAAAGGGGACCCCCCATCAAAGCCACTTTGACACTTGATGGGTTTTGAACACGTGTAAGCAAGTGTAATCACGCGCAAAACTCATTATGCTTTGGACAAAAACACCTCATCAGCCATATTTCATATTTGTCTTCTTTGCTCATGTCTCAAAACTCAAAATTAAGTTTTTTCTCTAATCAGGAGAAACATATTATATTATAAAAAAAAACAAGTTTCTAACATCTAAACTTCCTTGATTAAAAACGATATTTTTTCAATGTTTAAAATGATATTTTGTAATTAATAAATTTAATATTGTATGACTGGAGGGGGTTTTGTTAGTACTAAGTTAGTGCGTTTTGCATATTGTTTGTTTGTTATTGTTGGTTGCATTGTGTTTCCAAGTGCCTACGCAAACTTACAGTACCCATGACGTCATCATAGTGTTACATATTTACATTTTTTTTCCTTATGAAAGAACTTTGTGTATCTTTAGAATTTTAACTTTTTAGCCTTTTTCTTTAATTGTTAAACAACAAAATATTCCAATTTGGTCGAATGTCCTCAAAAGAAAGAAAAAAATGGCTTGACGTTCCATTTCACCAACGTGGGTCTATTTCATTATTATCCATAAACTGGCCCATTCATACAAAAAGGGCTACACGCTTACAAAATGACCCATGATAAAAATTTAATATCATTGGACCGGCCAGAAACTTAACAACACTTACATAACTCAAAGAAATTGGTTTGCTATCTTGTCAATTGATCGGTACGAAACCAAAAAAGAAAACCAATATATAGAGCATGTTATGTAACCGGTGCTAGAGCTCAGTGGTTTAAAAATGTTTGTCCATAACATGTATTGTATGTTAGTGGTTTTTGTTCATAACATGTGTTATATAGTAACACAAAAATGATATTAGAAAAAAAATTAATATATTTGACAATTACAAAATTCCAAAGAAATGAGTTACTCGTCAAAAAGTTTCAACTGATATTATGAAAACAACGAACGATGGTAAAAATGTTGTTGGAAGAAAAGAGATATGTTATGGCAATTGCATTATTCAGAAGCTGTTACAAAAAATTCTAGTGACTACGAGAGGCGTAGTTAACAACACCTACTATCATCTTCAACACAAATTTTTATATTCGTCGTAACCGTTATGCTCTTCCACAGGCGCACTCGTAGTAATAAGCAAAAAAAACAAAAAAAATGTTCGAAATATACAAAGTCTACTTAACAATATGACATCTTTATCACAAAACTATACAAAGATAATTTTGTTTGGGCCGATAAGATACCAGAGACGCGTTTCATTCATATGTTTCGCGGAAGTATAACAACGCAGCTCATATCTATATTAGCAAAGCCTATGTTGAACTATGACCGGTACGGGGACAAGAAACGGAGACGGGCACCGGGACGAAAAACAGTAATACTAAAAATTTATAGATACCGGTACGGTAGGGATACGTCA